ACCTGTGAATTTGTGTTTAAAGGTTTAAAACACAAATTCACAGGTTTAAATCCTGAATTTGTGTTTTAAACCTTTAAACACAAATTCACAGGTTTAAATCATCAATCCACAATTTTTTTTACATTCATCTAAGGAAGTTATGCTTACAGCAAAAATTCTCTCCAAATGAATTTCACTTTGAGCATAACTCCTGCAATTAAAATTCTAATCCAATTGGATTAGAATCTGAATTGCAGGGGTTTTCAAGGACTTTTTGCTGTGAGCAAAAGTCCCTGGAAACAAATATTTTTTAAACCTGCAATCTACCCTTTGTGGAAATTTAAATCAAGGCCTAATTTTAAAACTGTTGTTTTTTTAGCAGAACCCCCTTCAGAAGTGCTTTAATGAATTTCAATATGATACAGAAAATTGTCCTCAAAAAGTGGTACAGTATTCATTTAAAATTTTTCAAATAAATTTTTGTGATTGCTAATTTTAAAAATTTTGTTCAATGTTAAATAACATGAATGTATTCCCAATTGAATGTTATTATGTTGTATGATTTTTTATGATTTTTTTCATTTTTTGATAGCCTTTAAATAAATATTTTTAAAAATTTCGAATTTCCAAATTTTTCAGATTTAAAAAAAAAAAAGTTCGTACTACGAATTTTGTTCGTAGTACGAGGGTGAAAAAAAATGATTTTCCTCAAAAAAAACGTTCGTTCTGCGGAACGTTCGTTTTACGAGGCGTTCGTTCTACGAGGTACCACTGTAAATGGGATTAATCATAGTCATCTTTCTAAATGCAGGACATCCATGAGGAGTTCTAGTAATTTGACAAGAAAATGATTTCCATGGATTCCAAATTCTATAACCATCCAAGTTAGAAATTCTTAGAGTCCATTCAAGTATGACTTTTAAGGTTAACCTATGTACTGTTTGTGTATGGAGTATTCCCATAACACAAGTATGTGTATGCATATTTTTATAGGACTTTTAATGGACCAAATTGCTGACTTTTAAAAACTTTCTCACCAATTTTTCCAAGACATCATCAGGCACGTTTCTTGAATGATTGCACACTGAGTAGACAGAGGAATGTGAGAAGATGACTGGGGCGTCTGAAACCGTCATGGCGTCACGCATTGTTTGTGCATCTGTGTGACTCAGATCCACCATCATTCCCAGTCTGTTCATCTCCTGGATCACTTTCTGAATGTCATATAAAATGTAAAATAACGTCAACCACCTTGATAATTTTTCTTTGCGTTTCACGCCAGAGAACACCTGTTCAAAAACGGCTCAAATGGGAAAAAAAAATTTGATCTGCATCAGCGAAAAATTGCAGCTATCATCATAATAGTTTCGGAGTTGTTTCAAATTTAAGGCTGTGTTTCAATCCTCCAAATTGAATTAAAATACCTCGTCTCAATTGTAAATGTTAGGTCAGGTCTTTCGAAAAAAAACATGCGTGACCGAAGCACGTTATCTTGAATGTTTTTTTGTTGTTGTTGACGAATCCCTAAATTCTAGGTATACCGTATCTTCGGACATATCATCAAAATTGAAAAGTTATGCAAACATTTCGAAGACGTTTTTGCACTCACGTGTCCGAATCGTGTCAAACCTTTGACCCGACCAGAGCCTGGTGCAGATATTTCATGGTATCTTGCCCTGAAAACAAATATTATTAATTCAAACGTGATCTTTTAATAAAATAAGTGTCTTGCAATATGTCTTCCCAAGAAATTTCAAATAACTTTAGAGGCAGTTTGAAATATCACATTTATTTCAAAACACGTGATTTTAGTACAATTTACTTTTACAGGAATATTTTATTAAAATAGAATGAAGTTGATGTGAAATAAATTAGCATCAAATAAAATTAGCATAAACAAAAATGTAACTCTCGTGTGTACGGTGAAAAACTATTCTTTGATATGCTCATTCATTGTATGCGGTACATATGAGACACACTATAGGGGAATATTCAAGGAATATGATAGAAGTGAGATGAATTAGGAGTTTTAGGACTCAAAAATATGATCTAGAGCAGGACATACCAAGGAGTGTCGCAATTATGAGTCAAAGTCAAGTATCGAACACCGAGTTGGTAGAACATCCGCAAAACCGCCAAACTTTCTTCAATCATGTGACCGCCTTCAACGCCAATCAAACTGGCAATTTTGCCTCGTTTGTGAGCTTTTGTTATGCCTGAATTTGAAAAAAAGACGGTTTATTCTACACATAGTACTAAACTGTAGAAGGGAATTCAATTGTTGTTAATCAAGAGTTCCGGAAAAAAAAATCTTGCCAGTGATATATTCGATTTTCTTCCGAAATTCACGGTTTCCGTGACAAAAAAATGCAGTATTTTCAACATAAAACATTTAAACATGCACAAAAAGCCCACCCAAAATATGGTTGGCCCGGCTGATACCGTATTTTCAGAGATTTCTTTTGAAGAAATAGTGACTTTCTTTTAGCTTTTAAATGATATTCATCAATTATTTATTTATTTTGATGATCAAAATCTTGGTCATTTGAAATCTTCACGCGCTATAAATCGTTAAATTATGCTTTCAATTTTAGTGAAACTTTTCAGGAGAAAGAAAGAAAATTTCCTGGATCAGTTACATTGAAGATAATCGACAAAGTTTTAATGAAAAGGTACAACTTTTTTTCCAAAAGAAATTGACTATAGTCGAAGCTTACCTGGGATATTTACGAGGGTTCTAACAAAAGTTCTTGGAGTAGCAATGAAAATGGCATACAATTGAGCTGAAAAAAATTTATTCTCTAGCCAAAACATATTCTTTGGCACACAAAAAAATCAGCTCGGTTTGACAATTTTTTTAAATTTTACAAAAAATTAAAAAAAAATTGTCAAACCGAGCTGATTTTTTTTTGTGTGCCAAAGAATATGTTTTGGCTAGAGAATAAATTTTTTTCAGCTCAATTGTATGCCATTTTCATTGCTACTCCAAGAACTTTTGTTAGAACCCTTGTATGCATATAATGTACACATATGTTTGTATTTATGTACTGTATATATAACAAGGATTTAGGAGACTATACCTGAACATAAACATGCTGGGGATATTATTCAGAAACCAGATTGATATATTTTGGGCCACCTTGTATTTTGAACACACAACAAATCACTACCATCTGCTTAGATGTAGGTACTGTCTGAAATCAATACAAAATTCTCTAGGTTTTGATCACAATTATTGATTGAATTGGAAATCAGAGATGTAAATTAGTTCATTATACAACTGTTGGGGATTGTGGTGCACACCCATAAATAAATTAATAAACCACCCGCATCCCAGGAACCGATGCTTTTGTCCTTGTAGAGTTTCACAGCACAAAAAAACTTGCCTCCAAAAACCTTCAAAACTTTTAGGACAATGCTGTGCACTGTCTTTGATTACACCATTCTTACCTAAAGGAGAAAACAGGAAAGAATCCCAACCTTGACGTCCAAGAACGAGTTTAACACAACCCTTCCTGAATAATGCATAAAAGCCCCAAAAACTTTAAATAAACAGCACATTCTCATTCAGAATCTCATCCCCATTCTTACATAGCTTCCACTTCTTGAAACAATCCTCTGAAAAATTTCGTGAATTATTGTGGATGTGTTTTTCTGGAAGAAGATGTTGAGTGGTTGATTCTTTTGGGACATAAATAAATATTAATTTCTTGGAGCCTCTATATAAAGGGGCTCACTCATAAAATCTCTTTGGTTGGAGGAAATCCTTATCAACAACTGAATAATTTAGAATTATTCTACAAGTTTAAGGGGATTTCTAATGATCTTTCGGTGACAATTTCATGAATATGAATGAAAACCAGAAATGAGAAACTAACCTTCAGCATTGGTGACGAATTCAAAGTGTTCGGGATACGCTTCAATCATGCGTTTCGTCACGTCGATTTGTTCCAATGCTTCATGCAGAGAATCGTTGTACTGCCTCGAGCAGCCAATGAAAGTTGCCCAAAACTATATGGAAAAATGCCAATATTTCAAGTACAGTATTTACTCGAGTACCACGTGCACCTTTTTTCCCAAATTTCAAAAGAAAAAAGGGGTGCGTGTCATAGGCGGGTACAAAATTTTCAAGAAGCTTTAGGAAGTTATGTTTGCATTATACTTGATTATAATGGAGAAATTTGGAACAAATATAACAAGAAAACATTTTTGTGTTGAAAAAGTTGAAAATTCATCAGATTTTTGTTCAATTCAAGCCTTTAAGGTCAATTTTTGTTGTTGAAATTTTATGGTTTTAGATTCACTGAAAATTGGGGTGCGCATCTTACTCAGGGATAAGATTTTTGCAAATTTTGCAACTGAAAAACCCCTGTGCATGCCTTACTTGAGGGCGCGTGGTACTTGAGTAAATACGGGTATTTATTTTACATTCAATCTCTGCTGTACACTATATAAACCAATAAGGTCAATTTTTTATTTTTGAAATTTTATGGTTTTAGATTCACTAAAAANGAAATTTTATGGTTTTAGATTCACTAAAAATTGGGGTGCGCGTCTTACTTGGGGATAAAATTTTTGCAAATTTTTCAACTGAAAAACCCCTGTGCGTGCCTTACTTGAGGGTGCGTGGTACTTGAGTAAATACTGTACAGGTATTTATTTTACATTCAATCTCTGCTGTACACTATATAAACCTTTACTATTACAATGAACTTCTGGAATGGCAGTGATGCGAATTTGAGAGATGATTCATAGACACAAAACATTTTGGACTCACCTGAGCTCCCACTTGGCCTTGCCTTAATCTCGGAATATCCACGTGATTATAAACAAACTTGTTAAAAGCGGGATCGTCTTTCAATGATTTATTCAGGTCGACTTTGCTCAATTTGTTCTGGATCGCTGTTCTGAGCAGCATCGGGAAATCGTTGTGTCTGCAACCGGTCAATTATAAATTTATAACATGTTCCATCATCCGCATAGATGAGCTAAATCAAATGAAAAGGAATAAATGTGAGACTTTGTGCTTCGTTACAAAATCAACGTTTGGGAAGCAGACAAATTAAGAACACATCAGTGGAGTTTTTTGGAGTGCATATATAATTGGATTTGTGTAAATTTCCGAAACACTCATCAAACCTAATTTTAAAATTTATTCAATTTGTTCACAGAAGCTATATTTGGGAATTTTTCAATTCCTTGTGCTGAGGTTTTTAATTTGTAACAAGTGGCAAGAAATAATTAAATCAGCTGGAAAACTAAAAATGTGTACGTACGGCAAGTGCCTCTCTTAAAAATAATATTTTGGTCTATACAAAATGGCTGATAAAGTGATAGCTCAATTTATGTACAGAATTTATATATGCCTTTTCTACTGCGCAATAATTAATCAAAAGGTAAGTAAAGGTAACAATGTTGTATTTGTTTTAAAGAGAATACACTTCAGAGTAGTTGTTGTTAGTAAGATAGGGTTACAGCTAATGTGTATTTCAGCAACCTGCTATGGCCTCCTTCCTGATTATTTTTTCAAATATAATGAGTGTGAGCTCTAAAATTGACAAGTTAAATGCTGTAAAATGTGATGTTCACTGGATTTCAATTGGATTGCATGATTTCCTTCCATCCTATGAGTGCACATTTTCAATTATCTTATTCAATAATCTCCAGTCTAGTGCAAATTGATTCAAAAGACCATGAAATGGTTTGTTGGGGACTGTTGTGGAGAATAGTTTCATATAATTTGCCACATCCTTGAAATGGATGTTGAGGCTTAGAAAGTCTTGGAATTGCCTCAGGTAATCACAAAAGTCAGTGCAAAAGGATTATTACTGTCTTTAAAATTCCCTTTCTTATTTTGCATCCCAAAGCAATGCAGCTCCAGCATCAGCCGCAACCAGACAAGAACACATGTTGCATTTCTGAGGCCAGTGAGACTTGCAAAAATCCTGTTTTTGCAAGAATCACTGAGCCTCACTCAAGGACAAGAAGCAGTCATCACTTCTTTGATTTTCCTAAAATTGGCCAATCCTGAGCCAGGAAGAAATCATCTGATTTCTTCCTGACCCAGTGGAAAGCACCTGTCTATAAGAACCTTCATTCCTCTTTGAGTGGAAAAGTGAGAACCTAGTGTTAAAGGGCCTTTTAACTTTAATTACCTCATTCAATATTCTGAGCTAACCAACTAATCTTACAATTGACTCTGCCATTACAACCATTACATTTTGTCGGTTAACTACTTGACCCGTTACTCTTACTTGAGTAGACTTTTCTCAAGCTCAAGAATCAGTTTTGAACGTAAGACTACCCTGCACAATTCAATTCCTTTGTCTGGGATTCTAAGGACTCATGACATCTTACTCAAGCAGAAGAAAGGAGGAAAAAGCCAACAGGCCAGAAGCAAGTCTCCCTTCCCTTCAACAGAAGAAATCTATGAAACCTCCAAACATCAAAACCAAAATATTCATTTCTCTGCCCATCCAACAAAGCTAACAAATGATTTGAGGTAGAACTTTTTGGTGCTTGTGCAAATTTTTGTGTGCTGTCTTTTCAAAAGTCTTCTGAGTTGATTCACAATTCATTTTGGGCATTAATAAATACACTTTCTTTGGGGATTCCTAACAGAATTCCCAGCCCATCACAGGCTGATTGTTGTGTTTCATTGTTTATTTTTTGTCTTCTTTGTTGAGACACCCAGTCTCCAACATGGTCAGAGGAATCCTGAAATGCAGAGAAAAAATAATGATCTTTCTGGAAAGATGTTGTCAGAAATACATTTGCCAGTAGGTTGAAACTTCTGGCATGTATGAGGAAATGAAAAAAATGGCGCTTCATTTCCTGTTTCAGATGCCACCTGTTTAAAAAAAAGAAGTGGTATACATTTTTTGCATACCCATCAATCAAAGGCACTTCGTCGAGAATTGTCTTCAAAATCTCAGCGTTGCTGCGTTTGCACTTTTTCAACAGGCTGCAGTCAGTGTACAAAATTGGCAGTGTTATGGTCAATGCCACTACAACCAGCACAAAAGCTGCAATTAGCGCGGTTGCAACTTTGCTAACCATCTTTTGTTCAATCTGAGTTGCACAAATGAAATCTGAAAATGAACACTTTGCTGCTTGAATTTGAAAAAAACGAAAAATGAGCAAAAATCGCCAGATTATTAGAAAAAAATCACTGGAATAAATGGGAAATCGAATTTCTTATTTCAGATCTTATAAATTCTTTGCCTTGGGGACATTATATTATCTTTCACATAAGCGCAGAAACGAAAATAAATTAATTTCCAAGAAATTGGTTCCCGTAACGTAATTTCGTTGTGAAAAGATTTCAACGTGTATTTCCAACAAATGTAATCCATTGATCGCATGTATACAACGTAATTTAAAATCGGAAATTTACAAAATAATCTCCAGATAAGAAAACAAAAATCACAGGCCTAGCGCACTGGAACAAAGGTGGATCCTTGTTTCATTTCAAATCACTAATTTTACCACGCAGGGGACTGTTTATCTTTGAGATTTCTGATACTATCACAATATTACACAGACAATAAATTCAATCAACTTTCAAGAATAAGGAGAAAAGCTGAGTCTGGCACTTCTTTTTTCATCCACGTTATGGTTGAACCATTTTAAATAATCAATTCAAGATTATGGAGGACCATGGACATAAGCTACTTGTCTTAAAAAGAAAATACTCACAAGATTTGATGCTGGTACATTTTATTACTTATAGAACAAGCCAAAAGTGATATACTGTACAGATTTTGAGGCAAGAAGAAAGGACAATAATAATAATGATAAGAAGAAGGATAACAAGGTTAATGAATGAGGAGTAATTGAGTAATGATAAATGATTGAATGAATGAGGACAATAATGGGAGAGTTATGCAAAAATAACAGAAAAAACACTTCAGGATAAACACAATAAGATAGCACATCATCCATCAAGCACACAAACAGCACACACATGATGTACTAAAAATAAAATGAGCACCAAGTGGGGCTGAATGATTGACATACTCAACAATCATTGTTCAGCAATAATGTGTTAAACTTGAGAATTTACTTTACACTGAGAGTTTTGTACAAGTAAAATCTGTTCCACCAGCTTTGCCTAGGACTGACTGAATGAGTCAATGAGCCACACAAATTCAAGAGCACCAAGGGCATAGCATGAGGGAACCATGGGGGGTTCTTTCCCACTTGGCTGGACAAGTGTGCCAAGGGCAGTGGGTCAAGCAGGGGTTCCACACAAAGTAAATGTGGGCTGGTGGTTCCAGCTCTCACACCTCGGAATATAATTCCATAAGCTTGCAACTGGAAAAATGTCTCCAGAATGTGTATAGCTTGTTCCTCCGCAAAACTGCGATAGTATGCTGATAAGGACTCATTGCTCAGCATTTTGAGATAAAATACCACCTCCTCGTCACGACTTTGATGAGGGTTTTACTCGTATATACGTTTGTGAATAAGATTCCTGTCTGCCTTGCAATGATTCACAGAATTTTAAGTTGATCAGTTTCAGACTATTCTCTGAGATTCCTTATTATAACTGTATGATAAGGAATGTTAGAGCCAAATGCCAGCTATTCCTTCCGTCTATAAAGAAAAGTTGCTCTCCTCTCATCCATCAAATATTCACAGAAAAACCATTTAATTACAATGGAGAAATTTCAAAATCCCTAATGGTCACGTATGCACATGTTCTCCCGCACAATTTCGATGTTCAATTTATTCATGCTGAATAATTGTTGAACAGCAAAAATGAAAATAATGAAACAATTAAGAACATCTTCAGGAGAGTGAAAGAATCTTAAGAAGCTCTGCTAATTCATCAATAATTATTTATTTTAGATTTTAAGCTACAAAAAACACATTCCGGTTCCATGAGACATTTAGAGTGCTGACTTCAGATAAAGTTGCCCAGCTTCCAAAGGATTGTAATTTAAAGTGCAAATTTACGTTTTGGACTGCAACAATAAAGCCAACTATGGAGCATACTCACTCCTTGTATATTAAAAGGGGACTTATGATTGTCTCTGATCACATCAGGTATCAAAAGACACAAGCAACACAGACACAATAAACCAATAAAATTTCACATTGTGGAATAAAAACTTACTTAAAAAAATAAATACAATAATCAGCAGAGAAAACATGCATCTGCTATGGTGCAACTCAACTTTCAAAAATTCTAAAGTGCATAAATCTATGAGTTGTGCACTTGAAAAAATCTGCCAGGTCTTAAATCAGAGCTAAAGATGTTCTCTAATTTTTTTCTAATATTTTAAAGATAAACCCAACTGACAGATCTTGAGATATTCTCACTGTTCTGAACATGACTTTTTCTTTGGTGATAAGAATCTGGGAAACCTTCATGCCAGATTTTTATCTCACTGATGCACAAGCTTTTGGCACAAACAGTGACTTCAAAAGCCTTGTTCCCAAATGCACAAATCAATCTGTTTGTGCAACAATTATTATTAAATTTCTTCATCATTTGTTCAGTTATGTTATTTTGCATTCCTTTTGAGCTGTGATCCTTAACATGTATGAAAAAACAGCTACAGCACAACAATAAATCACGTGGAAAAATATAACTGTGCAAAAATGGAGCACCATTAATTTAATTTTCCAACCAAAAAATGTCTGCTTGCATAATACAGTATATTTATTTATTTTCCCTACATGTAGTACAGTATTCAACCTGCTGCCATTTTCTGTGTCTGATATCTGAAGCCAATTTTTTTTTAATATGACCTAAATGGAATTTTTGCTTATTTTCAAGTAAATCCAGCATCCACATTCTACACTAATATTCAGTCTATTCCAATTTGATGTTGGAAAAAACTTCAGCATGCCAATAATTTGGCGCCAGACAAGTAAATCTTCTGTTCCTTAATCTAGAGAAAAATTTATCTGCTTCTGCTGGAGCCTGAGAACCAAACCCAAGTTTGGTTCCCAGACCCAGCAAGTAGAACATCCCTGAATTGATTTCTAATCCGCATCCTTCAACTCTTCCTTTCCTAATTTCTGGATTTCATTTGACCAGACACTTGCATTTGAGTTGCAAACCCAAGCAGATCTCCAAGCAGAGAAGCTACAAATGCGTTGTATCAAAACCTTAACCAGTGTTCATTCTCAAAAAATATAACTTTTCATACTAGGACAACTTGTCCCGGCTGCAGCCCGGCTGATTGAATGTGTTTCTTTTTTTCTGACCAATTCATTTTCTCATCTGAGCATCAATCCTTTTATATCACTCTCCATTCAAATCCTCTTGTATCCAGTTAAGCGTTCAAAATTCTTGAAGTTTCTTTCATTGGCTTTGTGAGAAGTTCTATTGCTCTTGAACACTTTTTCTCACATTTGATTCATAAGAACATAAACTATTTAAACCAATCCTGACAAGAAAGAGCAAATATGTAATAGCCCAGGAAATTTATTGGCAGAATGTATTTTTGAGAAGTTAAAAATTCAGCACAAGAATATAGAAAAGGGACGTTTCTGTATTTGTTTTAGGCTTTATCTTTATAAAAAAAAAGTGGAAGGAGTAGTTTTTTGCATACCCATCAATCAAAGGCACCTCGTCGAGAATTGTCTTCATTACCTCAGCGTTGCTGCGTTTGCACTTTTTCAACTGGTTGCAGTCAGTGTACAAAACTGGCAGCGTTATGACCAATGCCACAACTATCTGAATGACAGCTGCAATTATCGCGATTGCAACTTTGTTAACCATCTTTCGCTCAACCCGATGTCCGCAAATAATGAAGCCTATAAATGAGAAGGACACTTGCCTGTTTGAAAATGAAGAAAATAAACACACTTTTGAAGTAGATTTTTTGTTTGTTTCGCAGTATAGGCAGTGAATTCAATCAACCTTGAAGGAACTTGAAAACCTGGGAATGCATTTCGTCAGCCTAAATTAACAAGGAAGATGCCCCTAAAAATGCAGATAACATTTTGTTGCTCAGCGTTTTTTGACATAGACACCACCTGGTTTTTGTCACGTCTTGCCAAGGATTTTACTCCCATACATTATATTATTGCAAATACTGTAATTTATCCATTCTTATTTATTTGTAATACAGTACTTTGAAAATTTTTTGCAGTGATTTTCGAAAATTTCAGGCATTCCTCAATTATATAATTATATGGAATGTCTGTGCGACATTCCATTAAAATTTCTTAGAAAAAACTTTCCTCTTCTAAATCAAGCATATTCAAATTTTCAAAAATTAGGACAGTGTTATCTTAGAAATACATTAACTTACAGAATACCCTTTTCCCTCATAGCAGCATTCAGCTG